GTTTATAATTTATTGATGTTGGGGCTTTCGAACGTCATGTGAAATTTATTGATCTCGAGGATATAGAGATTTCTAGAAGGCGAGCAGACGATTAAGTGATATAAATATATAGATAGTGTGAGACAAGTGGGAACAGCAGACAGACATAGCGGGAAGAGAGCCAAAAGTAAAGTGAAAGAGAGTTTCGGTCAGAGAAAGGTTAGAAATCGTAAAGTTAAAACATCGTAGGAGTGAATAGCCTAATGGTTGATATGTTAAAGTGAGATTAACAGTTTTCTGACATTTTAGGAAAATAATTTGTCTCATCAAAGGGTGTTCTAAAGCAACTGAACCTGCCTGTGTGGACTTTGACAAAAAGCAGACAATTATTTGGAAATAGACCTATATCCGAAAAGCAGATGTTTATTGGAAGTAGGTCTAAATACGAAAAAGCAGACGAGTATCAGAAGTTCAGGACACAACTGCTGTAACTCAGTAACAGCGTAAGTGAATTATACACCAATACTGTTGTGATAAATAGATAAAAGTAAAAGAGAGAGAAGAAGAGGAATAAGTGAATTATATACTGATAGTGTTTAAGGTAGAAATAGAGAAAAGTAATTCAGCTTGTAAACTGAAATTCTAAAGCATTTGAATAGCCCTAAGTGGACTTTTGACAACAAGAAAAGAACTATATATAGTGTTTATGATATGACTATGACCTCTATAATTTAACTAGTTCTAATATATATATGTATAATAACTGTAATGGTGAAACAGTTTAAAATATGGACCTTCAACATCCACACTTGACACCCCTGATCAGTTGGAAGAGTTTCTACTGTTACGTCTCCGTTTGTTAATTAACTTTCCGTAACTTCGTTCCGACGAAACTTAAGCGACACAAGTCCTTTCTTAATAAAACTAGTTTATTCTTTCCGAATATAACTTTACCGATACACTCAACTTCAACATTTTTAGATCATTAATTGTTTTCTACTTACTACGTGAAGCTTCGAAATGTTGTGTCATCATTAC